GAATGATGTCAGTACTATATTTAGTTGAAAATAATGTTGACTATTAATTACTAGCTCTTCAGTGAGATGTAAGATCATACACCAAACATCTCATGGACCTGCATGTTCTGATAACTCACTACATATGCATAAACTCTGGACTACTGGCAGTAATTAGTTTGTGTTAAAAAGATAATTAACAACAGAGGTACAGAAATTCAGAGAGGCCTTGTGAGTGGCTGAGGTGCGATAGATCAAGGAAGCCTCTGAGGGGAAGGATTTCTGTTGTCAGGGAAAAGGAAAACAGATAAAAAATGTGGTCTTTTGATGTTGCCTTTTGGCTGACACCACAGTACCTAAAAAGCAGGACTGCCTGTTTTGTTTTGCAAACAATGTATTTCCAAAAACCTAATATCTTGGGCTGAAGATTTTTAGACTGGTAAAACCTAAACAAAAAGAAGCACGCATGAAAACAGGGCTTACAAGTATAGTTAGAAAGAGAAATTCCCAAAATATCATTTTTTTTTTTTTTTTTTCAGGCCAGCATTTTGACAGGGGACAGAGTTTGGAGGATGCCTCTTTTTGAGCATTACACAAAACAAGTCACAGACTGTCCTCTTGCAGATGTGAGCAACATTGGAAAGTACAGCAGGTAAGATGAACCAACACCTTCTATGTGCCCCTTTCTTTCAACCCATTTGTTTAATATGTGTGCTGTTGGAATTGCTCTGGGAGCAGTACATCTTTCTGTTTCCTACAGGGCTGGAGGAGCATGCACAGCTGCTGCATTCCTGAAGGAGTTTGTGACTGCCTCTCACTGGGCTCATTTGGATATAGCTGGGGTCATGTCCAACAAGGATGAAGTGCCGTACCTGCGCAAGGGCATGGCGGGGCGGCCCACCAGAACGCTCGTTGAGTTTGCAGCTCGATTAAGTCAAGACACTCACAGTGCCAAATAAAAATACTTGTTCTAAAATCATCCACTCTGCCTTAAGAAACAAAATCTTAAAAGATACCATTCACAAATGAATGCCCCAAGCATATTTTCATTATGGCAATTAACTTTATAAATTTTTACTTGAGTAAGAATATCTCAACTTTGAGATTTTTCATCCCATACCATATTATGCAGCAAAATAAAAATTATTCTTCTTGAACTACTGAAATATTTAATACCAAAACATCACAATGGGTACTATTGAGACACCTATTTTATATGCAAAGTATGCATAACTATCGTAAACAATAAATACTTTATTTGGATGTGAGTTTTGATTGAGAGAGAATAAACAATCAATGATAGATGTACCTCCGTTTTGAGTGAACAGTAGGTGGTGTCAATGGGAACTCTGCAAAGATTTTCATAGAAACACCATTCTGGCATTTTTTCCTTAGAAAAACTAAACTGCTTTTGGTATGTACTGAGGCAGAAATGATGCTGTGTGATTAGCATTAGCATGGCTTCAGCATAGAATTATGTAGTAAGTTATAAACATGTCAAAAACTGTAAATTGTAACTTTTTTTCAGAAAACTAGTGGGTGCAAGTTAGTGCTTGTGTGTTTTTAGGGGAACCTGCCCTTATCTCACATGGTTTTTGTCATCCCGATAGTTCCCCTCTTTCCTGGTGTGAGGTGGCCACCCTCCAAGCAGGGATATTATTCCCAGGCTCAGTTCAAACATCAAACAGACTTGACACATAAAACGTGAGGTGATGTTTTCTTGACAATTTGGGGGATCCAAGCCCATGAAGTGGGGATTTATTTTGGTTTAGGGTGGGTTTTTGGGGTTTTTGTTAAATGCTGTTGTGGACCAAGTGATGCTGAAACAGTGCTTAGCCAGGCTCGCACCTGTGAAACAGAAGCAGGGCAAAGGCTGGAGGAGGAGGAGGGTCCCTCTGGGGAGGATGGCTTTGCTGTCTGTGCTTGCCTTGTCCCAGCAGGGCCAGTGCTATCCTGGGCTGGAGTGGGAGGAGTGTGGCCAGCGGCCTGGGGAGGAGATCCTCCCACCTCCTCTGCCCTACCGAGGCCACTTCTGGAGTGCCCTGTCCGGTTCTGCGCTGGTCAGTGCAAGAAACACGTGGAGCTACAGGAGAGGGCTGTGAGGATGGACGGTGTGGAACATCTCTTATGAGGAGAGACTGCAGGAGCTGGGTCTGTTTAGTCTGGAGCAGTCTAAGAAGGGATCTCGATACATTACAAATCTCTGACATGCGCCAGGAGAATGGTACCCGACGGTGTCCAGTGACAGTGCGAGGAGCGACGCACCGCCCCACACGCCGCGGCGGCCCGAGGCTCCGGCCCTCAGCGGGCGGGGCCGCCCGGGCCCGCCCCGCTCCCGCCGCATGCGCGGCCGCCGCTCCCGCCATGGCGGGCGCGCTGGGCGGAATGTTCGGCTCCCAGGCGCCGGGGCCGCCGCCGCCGGGCCCTCCCGGCCCGCCCGGCCTCATCCCGCCGCCCGCGGGGCCGCGCAATCCCAACAGCACGCTGGTGGACGAGCTGGAAGCGTCCTTTGAGGTGAGGGGGGGCAGCCGCGGGCGGGCGCTGCCTGCCTGCGCCGGCCCCGCAGCCGCTCAGCGCGGTGCTTCCCTGTCCGCAGGCCTGCTTCGCCTCGCTGGTGAGCCAGGACTACGTGAACGGCACGGACCAGGAGGAGATCCGCACCGGTGAGCCCCGGCGGGAGCAGGGCGCCGCCCCTTCCCGCTGCTGGGAGCGGCGGCTGCAGAGAAGCGGAGCCGGGAATGCCCCGGGTGTGGTGGGAAGGTCGGAGTGTGCCAGGTGTCTCCTGAGGTTGGGTTGTTGTGCACTGAAACGCGTTTCGAGCACCAGGGAGGTGATGTGATGCATTGGGAAGCTGAATGAAGCAGTTCCAGGGAACAGGAAAGGCCAGGCAGCTCAGCAGCGCTGCTTTAGGGTTTGGGTGACCACCTCCGTGGAGGTGGAATAAATATTGTGTGAACAGGAGTTTAAAAAGTGGGTCTTAGAAGTGCCGTTGTCCCTGAAAATTTTCTGAAACTTCACTCAAATGGCGTTTCAATGATTTCGGCATAAATGCTTTTCAAAACTCCTTTCTGGTTATTTGATCATATTCATGTGCTGGCATGGAACAACTTTTATTACCAAAATAGTAGTGTGTAGTCTATGAGGGCAGAATATTCTCCTCAATAAATGCATATTTTAGAACCCTACACTGAGCGTGTTGCTTAGGCATGCAACCAGGTTCCATGAATTACTTTATTTCTCCTTGTCAGAAATAAAATAAAACATGGGAGGAAGTGTTGCACTTCTAAAATAACTTGTCCATTTGCAAAGCAGTGTCTTATTAAAGGACTTACTAGTTTAAAAATACATTATTTTAGATAGTCTTGACAATTTTCGTTCTAGAAGATACTGTGAAAAGTGTTTTTAATAGACCACTACCATTACCAGCCTGAAATCCTATTTTTTGGAAGCTGTTCTTTCAATACTGTTATTATATGTTTAGGTGTTGATCAGTGCATCCAAAAGTTTTTGGATGTTGCAAGACAAACTGAATGCTTTTTTCTACAAAAAAGACTGCAGCTATCAGTCCAGAAACCAGAACAAGTAATTAAAGAGGTATGTTAATTTACCTATCCTGTGCTAGATCAGATAAGCTATGTACCTTCATCACCATGTTCATAATTTTGGATTTTTCAACATGATGCTGTACCTTAAGTTGGTAGAACTTGGCTGTTATCATAACTTTCATCATGAACCTGGAGAGGCTGGATACCTGCTATGTGGAGTATTGGAGCACAGCTGATAATTCATTGGAAGAGACAAACTAGTTAGTCAGATTTTGCTGGGGATGGTGATCTCTGCAATATGTGACATAGGTGAATGGCACTAGTGCATTCACAGTGCTTTCCCTTTGTATCATTAGACACTTTTCCATTATTCTCTTTTTCCACTGTAAGTTCAGCTTGAAAACTCAAGGTCTAAAAAAGTTACATACTGTTTATGTGGGGTGGTTATCCTTTTGAATGCTATTTAATAATACACCATTTTTTCATTCATAGGATGTTTCAGAATTAAGAAATGAATTACAGAGAAAAGAAGCATTAATTCAGAAGCATCTGAGTAAACTGCGACACTGGCAGCAGGTCCTGGAGGACATCAGTGTACAGCACAAAAAGCCTGCAGAAATGCCTCAAGGTCCATTAGCTTACCTAGAACAAGCATCTGCAAACATTCCTGCTCCAATGAAGCAAACATAATCTTCAGTTTTACACAGCTCAATATTTTAAAAGCAACGGTGTTCTTTATATGCTTTTTGTATAATGTAATTTATACTGCAAATATAGTTAAAACAATTAAGCCAAATAAATTTTCTTGTTTTCTTTTATTAGAGGAAATATGGATTGGTTTTATGTTTTAATGGAAAATATTCAGAGTTGCTGTTCAGGGTGCTTTCTGGTAGAAGTATGTCTCCCAGAATGCATCCTTGTTCCTTCTAGAGAGGGTGGCCCTTGCTTTCCCCTCTTTTTGATATGATCAAAATATTTGCAAAGATTAGTTTTTGATTTTTCTGGAATATTTAAATGTTTTGTGATCCAGTAATTATCCATGAGTATCACTGCAGAAACACTCTTTAAAATTGTCTGTATGTAGGTCAGATCACTTTTTTTTAAGTGAATTGTTACTCTCCATCATACTGGCTCACTCATGGAAGGTGTCTTGGGATATTCAAATTTGGTTCGTATGGGATGAATTGAAATGGAAAAACACACACAAAAGAGTGGGATATGTAATGCAGGCCTCATGCTACTGATGTTCTGACTCTCAGGGTACTGAAGATGTGTTCCAAAATACCTACCCCAAAATACAGACCACTCAATGTGGAGGTAGGATCACCACCACTGAGCAGTATACAGAATTACCTTCTATTGCAGGGCTCTATTTAGTAAGTTAAATGTAGCCAAAAAAGCTTTTGGACGTAGAAATAGCAAAACACTCCTGTGCATTACTAAGAAACTAAGAAATTAAATTTATCCATCTTTTCTACATATACTTATTTAGGGGGGCAGAGTTGAATAATTAACTGTTGTAACCCTGGAAGTAAGAATTGCTAATTGTGTATTGAAATTTCTAGTGTTCTTGGGGCAGCATGGATGAAAAGTAATGAGAACAGCACTGTACATTTCCATCCTCACAGGTGCCAAGGTACCCATCAGAGTTTCTGTACACTATTTAATCTCTTTCTTGATTACAGGTACACAAAGTGCCTTTTTGCCAAATCACTTTTCCAACCAAACAGTTCCTCTTGGAAAAAATACTAGATAACTGGGATGAAAGCTTTGGCATGTAGAAGTGTTCTGCCCTTCCTTCCACCTTTGCACCACCAGTGAGATGCAGTGGCTGTTTTGTTTGAAATGATTGCATCTGTTGGTGTAGCTCTTGCTGGCTGTTGGATGTGAGCAGAGGTTAGGCTGGAGGTACATCTCTTTGCATGTATAACATTTTTTTAGGTAGCTGGGCCCTGTTGGTTGAAATGAAATAGGGATTCAAAGCAACCGAAGAGAACTGTGCTGTCTTAAAAGCAGGCTGCTGGTTGCACATTTTCCTGCCTTTTACACTTCATGGGTTAATAACCCAAGAGTCAACTTCTACATGGGTTCTTTCCTGCCAGCAATGAATTAGCATGATCTGATAAATGTGGTCATTCCCCCACTTTACTTTTATGTGGGCATAAAACTAGTATGGAGTTAAAAGGTACCAGGGTGCAGTTGTCATCACTGGAACTCAGTGTGCAAGTCTGACTTCAGCATTAACAGATAATTCTTTTGAAAAACACAGAAATTGGATCATTTACAAGCTTTAATGTTCATACTTACATATCACCCTAATTTATCAGGCTGATACATATATTGAAATTCAATGGGAATATTACAGAGCAAATAGCTATAAATATACAAAACAGTTTATGAAGCAAACCAGAAATTATTTCTGAATCAGCCTGCTATAAACATGCTAGCTTATTTTTGAAGGTGTACTACATGCTGTGCAGCTTAAAATTAATTTAACAAAAAGCATTAAAAACTTTTAAAATTACATTATTATATGCAGAACTTACATAAACAGCTGATGAAGCAAACATAAATGTACAGAAGGAAGATTTTTCTTTCAGCTGGTGCCAAATTGACAGAACATATCAGAGTCCAAATTCCACATTTAATGAAATAGTGGAGTGATATAGTCTCTTCATTAAAAAGTCTTTTCACATAACTGTATCCAAACTTTTCCTTAATTTTTTATAGAAGTTGTTTTAAAAAAAGCATTTTCCTGAACTTCATGCCTGTAACTCCATAGTTACTAGATGAAAGAGAATGCAGGTACTTCCTTACTTAGAAATTACTTTTCTTTTCTTCCCTTAAAACAACTATTGGATTATCATTCCTAAAAAGGAAACAGGAATGACTTTTATAGTAATTTTGAGAAGTATGGCAGTAGTTTGCTTTAAAATGAAAAATACTTAGTAAGCCATTCTTGATGCTGAGGGTCTTGTTTTTGGTCATCTTTGGTTTGTTCATTGTTCATTTGTTCATGTTCATTGCCATGTGTCCTGTGCAGACAAATTAGCATTAGCATCACCAACCTACTTACTTACAATCCAGCAGCACTGATTGTAACATGAAGAAAAGCATGAAGCCAAGCTTAACAGCTATACAGAAACATTTGAACATAGTTCTTAACTTGACACTCCCAAAAAATTAAACAAAAGGATGCATCAGGATATGAAGTCTTGAAAATCAGAGAATGGCAGCTGCAATTCACTCTTAAAAATACCAAATACAATTTATGCATTAAAAATGTTGGGTAAAAGTTCTATTTGAAATGGAAAGATTTATCTGAACACTACCTGGCATTCATAATCAATCCTATTACATAGTCCCTGATTCTCCATAATTCAGGATTTTTTTAACATATGGTAACAAATAGGACTTAACTTATGATTGACTGATTTAAAAGAATTAAGGCAGCAGCAGCCAAGCTCAGTCTCCTTGCACATTTGTTTCCCTCTAAAACAGAAATCCCATTTGCCTTGGCAGTCATCTGGGATGACACAGCATATTTGTATCTTAAAGAAGTGGGAATTGCCAAAGAGGATCTAAGCCTGTGTCCCAGGTTGTTTTTGTCAGCAGTCAGCACCATCTGCCCCCAAGGAAAGAATTCTCTTGCACATAATTTACAGGATAACTAAATCTCCTCCAGGAGATAGCTGAGAAGGCCAGATTTTGCCCTGAAATACAGTGGTAAAGTTTGGGGATTTTTTAACTTTATAGTAGCTACATACATTTTTAACTATTTCTTGAAGAGAGAGTTTATGTTATAAAACACTGAACATCATTTACATAACTCAAAAATTTGAAGAATTGAAGCTCCTCACAGAGAAAAAAACCAAAGACATTAAGTATCTGCTAATCAGTTTTCAAATCCCTAACCTTTGCTAAATGATCAGCCTAGGTTCATTCAAATACTTCTTAAAATAAAAAACATGACATCCACATCTACCAAGTGCAAGGTGAGGCAATAAAAATAAGGAAGACACACAAGACACACATCCTTAACAGAACCATTGAAAGATGCCATGTTAATAATTAATTACATTCTTAGTAAAATACTTGCAGCTTCTTTTGCTTTTTTTGTGTGTATGCGTGTGTCTGTGTGTGTGTTTTGTTTGGTTGGTTTGTATTGTTTTTTATTTCCCCTACCAGGAGGGGTTACAAGCAAAAGGTCTGCTGGGCTGGGATTATAGCCCACTTTTTCAGTAAAGTTCTGGATCTGTCTGCAGAAAACCAAACACACAGAGTTCACTGCACAGTAGGAACCTTACATCGTTGTGTATTTCATGTCAAATGTGTTTGAATTGCCTACAAGATTCTAAATATGAATTCATTTATCATCATCCAAAATGGACAAATACCTTGTGGCAGCAGTGCTGTCTGAGGACTGCGTTGATGGAGAGCCCACCCTGAGGCAGCCAGAACTCCGGTCTAAGCTTGTAGATTTTGTTATTTGAGGAGCACTTCTTTTTGATCTCAAGTCACAGCTCAAAAAGCTCTTTGCGTAGGAAGCTAAATTCGGAACACTGACAACACGACTGGGCACCTCAACCTTTTTCTTCTGCTTTTTATTGCAACAGAAAACTTCATTACATACACATTTTTTACATTTTATTCTATGAAACCTTAACAATACCTCATTCCCAAATACCTTACAAGGAACACCCAAATAGGAAGATTTCTATATTTTTCTATAGGCATTTAAATTAAATTTCCAGGGTATGCTGTATCCATGCATTTTGCCATCCAATTAAAACAACATGTATTTGACCCTGAGATTTTAGACACATGAAGGTGCTTTCCACCAACTTGACCTCCCTTCTTTCTATGGATATTTGTAGAAATACCATGCAGAGGGGCTGGAATGACAAAGGGCAGATACCAAGCAACTCAAACAGATGCATAATTTGCCTTGATGCATGCAATATCCCAATTAGCACATCCCAAATCTGCAAGCAATTGCCATGCTTATCCCAATGAAAGACTGATGTCAGAGTTCTGTTGTTTTGTATTGGCTTAAACACCAGTTATCTATGTTGCATATATACTTCTGATGAATTTCTCCTATGCTCAACAACTGACTCTAGATTGGCACTGGAAAGAATTCTACTGAATATCATCATAAACCATGGATAGCATTTTTGTTGTCCTGATATGATTCAAATAGTAATAAAACGATCACAATTTGTGATTTTAATTGCATTGTTCATCTTACCTTCATGGAGGGAGTCAGGCATGCTGTATTGGGGTTGAAAGAAAATGACCGATTCCTGTAAGATTCAGTGTTGGCTGAAAGTGAATGCTGACATTTTCTTCCTTCCTGAAGGGAAACAAAGTTACATGTATGGAAACCTGTATTTGTTGGAAGCTGGTATGGAAAGACACATTTGTCAAAGTATTCCAGAACAGAAAGAAACAACCAGGGTGAAGCAATGTGTGAAACACTGAATAGAGCCTTACAACAGATTCCAAAATACATATGTCCATATAAAAAACAGTCTTACCACCAGCTGCTTGATAATCTCTTCTCTCTCACTTAATTTGTCTTGCAGACAGTTTATAAGGTGTGTGTCTTCAGGCCTGGACTCCCACTTTTTTGACTTTTCTTCTAATTCTTTAAGTCTGTACCAAAGAAAATACAGACCAGAAAAAAACTTCCTCAGATTAGGTTCAAGAGAAACCTTGGATGTACTCTGCCCTATTTTCCAAGCCTAAAATACAGGGACATAGCCAGGTCTTTCCAATAAAACAGGATTTTTATAAAATGGACACCTGTACATGGTTTATGTAGAAGTATAGAATCTTCTGGAGCTCCAAAATAAATTTCCAGGGTTAATCCACAACACCTGTCCAGTGTAAAATCCAGCCCCTTATGTAAAATAGTAACAAGCTTGCACATCATATTGCTAGTCTAGTTTCCTAAAGAAAGAAATCAGTGTCAGAGGATCTATACATATCTATAATCATCTACTTGTTCTCTTTTCTGACCCAGTAACTTTGGAATCCTCAGATATACTCAATTCCTCTAACTTTCATGAAGATAAACATAGATATGCATGCTGCTTTAGTAACCCTGCTAAGTCAAAACCTGTAGTCTGAGTTCAGCTTTTTAAATTCCTTAAATTTCCTGTTTTTTATGTGTGGGTAAACATTTTTGAGAGGACCACCCCTGACTCTTATTACCTTGGAGTTATCTCTGAGTTAAAATAAAAAGATGAATCTTTACATCTGAAAGATTTAAAGGTTAGAAGCCTGCTTACATGCCAAGTCTCTCTTCTGGACTTCTGCTGCTTCTGAACAGTTGGGATAAGAGGAAAGGAGGAGGGATATATATATATATAAGGGATTATTTCTGAGGGGACTCAATCTGAAGCGCTACAGAACTTCTTAAATCCACAGGGGGCTGCAAACTGCATTTATTTACCTGAGCATCTTTTTCCTTGGAAAATTTTAAGGGAGTGAGAATGAGGTTAAGAAGTTTTACTTAACGATGCTACTCTGCTGAACAAAATTAAGTACATGATTATGATCAAGGCCTCTGATGTTATCTGTAACACAGATGATTTTACACTTTATAGAATTTCTAGATCCTACATGCAAGTTTTAATTTAGCTCAGTAAAACTTCATGTACAGTACTTTTGATTAAACAATATCCAGAATTTAATACAATGTGACTGGGTCTTTTTGGTTTGCAAAGATGATACCTATACACTTCTATTTTGATACATGCAAGTTTTAATTTAGCATTGTAAAACTTCATGTATAGTGCTTTAGATTAAGCAATATCCAGAATTTATTACAAAGTGTCTGGATCTTTTGGTTTGCAAAGATAATACCTATGCACTTTTATTTTGATCCTTATAGTATTTTACTTATGATTAATAAAAAAACTGTACGTACTAAGGATAATAAATAGAAACAGAACTCATTGCCAGCATGAGCCAGAGTTTATTGTTAAATTACTTACGCAGTTTCTAAGGAGAAAATCTTTGCTTGGAGTTGTGCCTGAGTGCTGCTGAAATCAGACACTATGGTTTCAATTTCCTTCCGGTGATCTCCTTTCAGTATGTCCAGTTCTTTTTTATGCTTGATATTGAGGTCTTCTACCAGTAGCCTTTCATTGGTATTAAAATATGTCTGAATTCTCAGGTTTCAATATTAGTTTATTATCATTGATCAAAGCATGCAGTTTTGAGGAGTTTTATTGACTGCAAGGGTAATTAACTGGGCAAAGATCTGGCTTCTGCCTACAGATTTGACATTTTGGTTGCAATCTGAGAAGAAATATTTTAACACTGAGGAAGAGAAAAATTATTTTGAAAAGTACTTGGCCTTCACCCTTCAGGAAATTCAAGGTCTATTCCATATAATGGTGCTATTGATATTCTGTCAAGGGTTAGTTTGTACATCAATCTTAATGACAAAATATGACAACAAAGTACCATAGGAACTTATTTGTATTAAGCAAAATCATGTTGAAATATCTGGCATTTTAACATGAGGCTCTCATGATTTCACTACATCATGACACCAGAAACATTTAATACTGCCTATCATCATCCTAAAACTAAAAAAAAAAAATTAAAAATCTAAAAAAAAATCTAGTTTCTCCCCTTGAAATTAGAGCACAGCCATGGAAGTGACTAATTTGGCACTTAGCATAAAATAAGCAGCAGAAGAATAAGGGTAAAAAAGGGAAAAGGATCCCTTGAAATGAATATTCAGGAGTAGAATATTTTCCTTCAGAAGACCCATTTGGGGATTTGTTCTCTCTTCCCATAAAAACACCTTTGTCTGCTCTTATCCTCATCCTTGTAAAAGCTTTCTGTACCGGAGGTGGAAATCACACAGTCCAAGAGAATGGAAAGAGGAATTATTGCTTCAAGCAGATTATGGGTTTCACTTACTTGGCAAGAGTAGGACTAGTAATTTTAAGTAATTTGTTATAAAAATTTGTCACATGCAAGTAACAAGCCCCTATCAGCTTTCAAATCAGAAAAAAAAAACTGGCATAAGACAGGGGCACTGTTGTTAAAAGTAAAAATAGCAATTACTTATATGCACCACTTTAACTACTCCCCTTCACAAATTATTAGTCTGGCAAAAAAAAAACCAAAAAAAACCAAAACCAACCAAACAAAAAACCCCATGAGCTGCAAGTTAGTTTTTCAAGTCTTCCATGGGTTAATTTCAGAGCAGCCTGTATCAGAGGCCTAGGTCCACTCCAGTGCTTTGGTCCTATCTCCAGTTATTTGAAGGATTTGTCCTTATATAATTTCCATTAATGCTTCCTTCCCAAATGCTTACTGTAGTAGAGCTACACCATCCATTCCCTGTAATGCAAATCCTCCAGCCCAGCAGCCTTAGCATTTGAGGCCTTTTAGACCTCAGCGCTGACATGTGAATAATTCTTCTTTTCATGAACAGAGGCTCTAAATTCCTTCAAGGTAGCTTGAGGGCATTAATGAAACTCTCTGGTTTGCAATTCTCTCTATTGATCTTGCTTCAAAAGCTTGAAATGAAATTCACTTTGAAGTAACTCTCCAAAGAGTGCAATGGCAAAAAAAAAAATGTTACTCATTCTTAAAATATCTACTGACTGGTAGACAGGAATGGAATTACTCTGGCCACTCTGACATTCTGCAGAGAGACATTCTATCCACTGAATGCTTTTTTCTGGACTATATATGCCATAATTTTAAACATTCCTTTAAGGGCACACTCTTCAGAAATCCTTTTATATACATGCTTGTGTAGTTAGGGGCATATATCCTGCACCACTGCAAAAATGAATTGAAAGATACCCACACACCAGATCCCTCAGTCTCTCTGCAAAGAGAATGTGTTAAGTATGTTCATCCATAAATTTCAAAGGATTCAACACCCATACAAATGCAGTGGGCAGTGAACCCAGTCTTGTCACCTTGTAAGTCATGCCAGGGGAGGTTTAGGTTGGACAGTAGAAAGAATTTCTTCAAAGGAAGGTGATTAGACATTGGAATGGGCTGCCCAGATGTGTTTAAGGAAAGACTGGACGTGGCACCCAGTGCCATGGTCTAGTTGACATGGTGGTCACAGGCTGGACTCAAGGATCTCAGAGGTCTTCTCCAACCTAATTGATCCTGGCATTCTCCACTTTTTCTGAACAGAAATGGGAAGACCCTTTTGCACCATGTGTGCTGAGCCTAACACTAAGACATGGTTTACCTTCTACAAGATGGCCAAGACTCAAGTCACCTTGCCCCTCCTGTGCCCTGACAGCCTCTCACAGTGCCAGGCTCACCATCAGCCCAGAGGCACTTTCAGTATCCACTGGCACTGCCCTTGCTTCCTCTATGCAAATCTGGCTGCTATAGCCAAAGCAAACTCTTACAGGGAGTAGATGGCATTCTCAAACATCCCCTTTGGAATTAACAGTCCATTGGTTTCAGCTACAGAGTATGTATAAAAACCTGATATTTACTCAGAAACTTCTATATTCCTTTTAATAGCTCTTTGGTGAGTTTGGGATTTGTCTCCCCGTGCCTTTGAAAGGCTGACATCATGCACATTTTCTCAGGTCACTCCTGGGGGGATACACTAGACATACTTTTCTGTAACATATAATGAACAATAAGTTCAAATGCATCTATTATGGCTGGAGGAAAATGTGAAATTAATTACTGCTTTTGCAAAATTCCTAGCTTTTGAAATTAGTACTTTAGGAAGGAAAGATTCTGACATGCATCACGCTTAGAATACCACTCACTCTGGCATAATTATTGAATCTCTAGACAGCACTGCCAAGTGTGAATTCAAGGCAAACCTTCTATGCTGTTTATCTCTATCCTGAAGCTGTGCAGCTTCTTGCTTCTGTGTCTCCAACTCAGCACTGAGCAGCTCCATTGTGTCCTTCAAAAGTAAATTCTCTCTCTTGAGTTCAGAAATTTCACTCTGACATTTTTCCAGTTCATCATGAAGAGATCTGATCTGGCTTTGGCTACTTCCTTCCTAAGAAAAAGGCCAAATTTAGTTATTCACAGCCTCTTACTTTTAATGTTAACATCTTCCTGGATTTGCGTGCATTGCATTTTTGTGATCTGATTTTTCAATTATATGTGCAAGACAAAATCAGGGATCAAAAGTTTCTGAATATAATCTATAGTCTCTACACAATTTATTTTATTGTAACATTCTTTCATTTACTTCTTTTGTAGATTCTGATCTTTAATTGGAAAGAAAAAGCCTGCCCACAGGGAAAAAATTATAAACATTTAAAGTGAGACGTGAAGGCAGAAAACCCATTGCATTTCTGGAAGAGACCGTATACTTTTATTATCACTGGAGAGAGAAATTTGATATTGCTTTTGCTGAACCAAACACAGCAATGAAGTACAAACTGGTCCCTTGCCTGTTGCTTCTTCAGTGTTCTCACACTCCTCAGCTCCATTTGTAGTTCTTCTATTTGCTTCTTTAGGTTTGTGCATGATGTCTGCTGCTCGGAGAGTTCCATCCTTAGAGATCCTAGTAACAATCAGACAGTCATTTAGGCAGTCAGAAGCCAGCTGGATGGGGAAGGCAGATACAGGGAATGTAGATGAAAACATTAATTCATTATATTTTGCTTTGTTCCTCAACTCCTTCCCCATTAAACATAATGGCCTCCTATTACTAGAGAGGTTACTCAGCTGAGTAATAATAAGGTGATATGGAGCTACAAAAGCAATGAGTCCACATCAGACTCAGAGAGATAATTCTGTGGCAGTTGTATTGCAGACCACATCATCACCATTGTTTCTTCTAATTTGAACTTTACTGTTAATTCACCTGGTGTTCTACAGAGAGCCATAAGGCAGACTGAGGAAAGCTCTGGTTGTGTTAGAGAAGTACAATGCTTATGCAAGCTCATCTGTCATAGACTGCAACTTTCGGGTATTTTAGGTACAAGTTTTTCAAGTACAAGAAGAAAAAAAGTTTTTACCTCTGTTGTCTCCCTACAATCTTTCTTGAAGAAGAGAATCTATCTATTTAAAGTCTAAACTTCAGAAAGCAAGACATCTTTCGAGAAAATTTTAATTACTAGTGGAAAAAATCCAAGAATAAAATTCAGTTTGTATGTAAAATACTTGCAAATTATTCTTTATTTAATTAAAAAACATTTTATAGATGAGCTTTAATAACCTGAGATTAAACCTGAAGATATTACACATCTTGCTAGTGCAGTGTTCTGTTGAGTTCTAAACAGTTTTGGGCACTTTTGAAACTGACTAAACAGCACATAGGGAGCAACTCATCTCCACTGCTGAACTCAATAGAGCAGACTTGAAGCACATATAAAAATTCAATATAGAAAGAGTAAAGTCATATGAACTAATTATAATTTTCCAATCTAATATGCCTGATAATGCATACTTGAATGCTGTACACCATACTACTCTCTCTGCAACATTTTGCTGCCGACAATTGAGAGCTTGGTTAACAAAGAATATTAAGACTATATTGTTGAAATTGAAGAGTGTGACAAAAGAGATTAAGAAAGATCTGAGTTCCCAGAAAATGGGAAAGAAATGAATGGGATGAAAGTCAGTGGTTCTCAGCATATATATAATCAAGCAATAGGAACTGTGCATGACATGAGACACTATACCTAGCAAGAGGGCTTGCTGCTTTTGTATCTGCTCAAGTTCATCATGTAATTCTTTCTTTGCTTTCTCTTCCAAGGTTTGTATTTCCAGCCTATGAGACTGATGTTGGATCTTGAAAGTCTCATTAAATTCTTTTTTCAAACGTTCTTCTGCCTCCTGTAAGCAAAAGTTCCCCCAAAAACAAAGTAGTTGGAGCCTGTTTATCAGCTTGTTGTTTTACTTGTGATGCTAGAATGAATGTGGCCTTTCATTGTGGAACTTAAATTTTCATCACCACTTTACAAGACATTTTATCAATGCAAGCATAAAAATGAGCTGAAGTTAAAAAGTAACACTTAATAGGTACAAGATAAATTATCAGTGTATCACCTCTTAGATTTTTTGAGCAGGATAAAATAACACAGATATCTTTGCACTATTTGACATTAGAAAGAAAGTTTTATCATTCATCATACAAAGGCCCCAGATTTGACCTGTTTGTCATTACTTATCACAGTGTGTCAGACAAAGGCATCTATCTTTCCTTGAATCACTCTAGGGTCATGCTTCCACTGTCATTAGAAGTACTGCTGGTACACTGCAAGGGATGGAGCAGCTGCTCTGTAGTGGCTCTGAAAGCAAGCTCCTGTCCTCAGTTTTATTCTTACCAACTCACTGCCTTCAGCTTGGTTTTGTCAAAACTGGAATTTTATTTGGAATATATAAACAGGATATTAAATTCTACTTACAGTAGTTTTATTACCTAGGTTTTATAAAGTTCTCTAAGCTGTGGGAACCAACAGGGACATCTGAACTCCATGTCACAATCACATGTACATTTTTCAAGTTGATTTTTTCTTGGATAGCAACAGTCTTTAGAACTTCAGTATATTGCATTAACAATTTGTCACTGAAATCAATTCACTTGAACATTTAAAAGCCTTGGCTATCACTTACTGAATTGATTTCTTGAAGGTATATAAGGCAATACACATCACTATATGTGTCTATTATACTTCTTAAGTATTTATGTATAAATTAATAATGGATGAAACATAATAAAACTGAGTCCTGTTATTAATACTCTCAGAAATTCCCTTGTATTTCTGAAGTAGGTGCACAGATAAAGGAGCTTATATTCATGGCAGCCTAACTGTAGGATATATTATATTCACACTGTAGTCTAAGTTAAAATGTTAAAATTATTAAAATCAAAACAAAAGTCCCATGATGAGGAAGTTTCAAAATCCCAGAATAATTTATTATGTGCAACAATAGCAACCCATCATTAAGCTAATTGGAGGTAACTGAGTTTTGGCTCTCACTTAGATGCTTTACCCCATAAATATATATATATTTTTAACATTAGTATGTAGTAAACTGACCTTCAGTTCCTGATTCTTGCTTTTCTCCAACATTTTTAAGACTTTTTGATGTGATGCCTCCAACTGCAGTTTAACATTTTGGTTTTCTTTAATGGTGTGTTGAAGATCCTGCAAAAGCTTCTCTTTTTCTTTGTTGGACTGTAGATTATGTTTCTTCAGTGACTCCTTGAAATTATTTGCTTGTTGTTCTAATATTTGCTTCAGCTGAGCCACCTTCCAGAAAAGTAAATCAGCAGGACAGGACTATTAGCTGCATTTACAATGCAGAGGAATTATGTTTAGTTGAATATACTTTATGGACTTGTCTTGCTCTATGAAAAAATAGCAAGATGCTTGCTTTGTGCAAGAAAATAACACTTTTTTCAGTGAAGAATGACAACCTTTTTGCATACACTGTCTGTTGCTCATCAAGTACTTTTTAAGAATTTCAAATCATCTTTATCTCATATGTGCAATCCACAGATCAATTTGCACAATAATATGCCACAAACCAGAAGGCAGGCCTAAGGCTCTGCTGAAGCTATCCAACAAAACTGATATATTTAACTTGAAACAGCACCTAGCTTCACCTGCCTCAGACTGAGTTTAAGTTCACTATTCATCCAGTTTTTTCTTGGCTTCTTCCACTGTGTCATCAAATGAAACCAATTTCCCTGATCAAACTAGTGAAGCGTAATTGCCAAATACTATTTGTAATGAAAAACATTAATTGCCTTTAATATTTCTGTGTACTGGGATCTGTCTGTAGCCTGGATACACTCCAAGAATAGGCAGATGCCAAAGCCACTTGCCAAGCATACTTTTGCTTCAAGAGATGATGAAATTTTTTTTATTACTTTTTAAAGAAATATGTGGTAAATCATAAGATTTAATTAAAGGGGCAGTTTGGTTTCTGGTTACAGGCAAAAAAACCCCTACTTTGTCTTCACACCTATTGAACTCAAGCCAATATTTTCCTATAAAAAGAAAAGAAACACTGCAGTTTTTAGGTACTGCAGTTCCTCATAAAACTAACTTTTGATGTGAAAGACTTAATGCTGTACAGTGCCTCCTATCAGCTGACACAATAGGCATTAGCATCACTACACTCAAGCATGCATTTTTTTTTGGGCTTCCTGAAAAAATAAAGAGACTGAAAAAAATGTGTCAGAAAAACAGGCTGTATATTTTATAATAGAAAAATCTGAAAGAGGAAAAATGCTACTTGGAATACTTCTTAAGCAAATTAGTCATCTAGGGAGGAAAGATGAATAGAAGCCTATATAAACTTAATCTGTGGTCACAACATTATAAACTTCCCCAACTCTTCAGAGACAATTATTGGCCCAAAGGACTTCTAACATGAAACAAAAGATCATACTAACTAGAAAAAGGCTGAGCTGGGAACACAGTGCAGTAAGAAATCATATGGAAAAGTAGTTTTAAAACCATTGTTTTTCAGTGATTAAGGGGAAAATCCTACAGAGAGGTATCAGACATACAAACATGTTCTTTCTCATGAATCCTGGTGCTTCTAACATATTAGAAGTTAAGAAACAAACATTTCCATCCCATCAGGTTTCCTTCTCCTCTTTTGCAATTAAAGAGGTTTTCAAATCCACCAGTGAAAATCTTCTCTGGAGTGTTTTGCAGTGCCCAAGTAATTTTTTGCACTTCCTGAGTTCTAAACAGATAGCCAGACCCTCAATTTGCTGAAGTTGGTAAAGCAGCATTTAAGCCAATGAAACTGTCAACTCACATCAGTCCAGAATCTATTTGGATGTTTTCATTATTAACAAAGTAGTAACACTCTGGAATTTTGTTTTATAATGTCCTCCTGCTGCAAAACAAAAGTTCTTGAAAAAACTGTACTTTAATTCCATTACTAATTCACTTTTATCTACCAGAATTGCACAAAGTAATCTCAGACATGCAAACATTACCTAATATAACATAAACAGTAATATGGCATAAGAAGTAAAAACAAAATAAATTGTATTTTACTGTTTTTTTAAGGCTTATTTCAGAGTTACTTCAATTTAGTTCTCAGTAAACAATATTCCTAAACTTGTGGCAATTCCTGACCAGAGGAATTTCTGACTGTGTACTTTGGCTGCTGTTTGGTGGAATCTTCAAGATCCATAAAAACTCTGGGCATTGCTGTGTTGTACATTGTACAAGATATATCATGACAAGCTGATGTTTGTACTGCCATTTTATGCATCTTCTAATTCCAGAATAGAACAGAATCATAGAGTATTTGGAGCTGGAAGGGACCCACAGGGGTCATAGAAGTCCAACTCCTGGCTCTGCACAGCCCCATCCCCAGGAGTCACACCATGCCTGAGAGCATTGCCCAAACACTCCTTGAATTCTGCAAGGTTTGATGCTGTGACCACTGCACTGGAGAGCCTGTTCCAGTGCCCAACCACCCTCTAGGAGAAAAACCTGTCTCTAATATCCAACCTAAATCTCCCCTGAGAGCTTCAGGCCATTCCTCTGTGTCTTGTCACTGGTCACCAGAGAGAAGAAATCAGTGTCTGCCCCTCCTCTTCCCTCATAAGGAAGTTTTGGACTGCAATGAGGCCTCCCCTCGGTATCCTCTTCTCCAGGCTGAACAGGCCAAGTGACCTCAGCTGCTCTTCATACAGTTTTTCCTCAAGACCCTTCACCATCCCTGTAGCCATCCTTTGGACACTCTCTGATAGCTTCATATTTTTCTTCTATTGTGGCACCAAGATCCTTTAACACATGCTGAAGAAATCCTGTTGTTCAAAACCAAGGAACTGGAGGGCCCTAATGAATTAGCATTCAATCCACACAGGATCTCACATCTTTCCTTCCAAATGACCAAACAGGTACAAGTCTGATTTCTTTATCCATAAAAGTCTTATTAGTATAGAAATACTGACACTTTGAAGTGCAACCACAGAGAGATGAAATTATCATTCTTCTGTCTACTCTGCACAGTGCTCCAGCTATGTCAGGCCAACCAAAACCAGGTCTTAGGCAGCCAAGGAAGCTATTTTTAGGTCTGAAATTGCATCCAGGTTAGAACTGGATTAGTAACAGCACATTGCCTAACCTTTGAGGCGGAAGCTCTGGGCTGAGCGATTGTGAAGGTTTCCAGATGGGAAACATGCCCTCATTGAAACATAACATTATATAGTGAATGGTGCTTTCTTGGCTGTGAATATTCATGTACCTATAGCAGGAAACTATTACAAATTGAAATGACTACACTACCCTGGCAATATTGCCAAGTAATTAGTTAAGAAAGTAACTTCTGGAGTAATCAAGAAAAATGCAAAATTTCTCTTCAAATTGAGCATTTGACCCTTTTTCAGAGCAGTCAGATTCTAAGATACAATAAAATGTTTTTTAGTGTATCTGTTCATATTTACTATGGCTCTGTGGACATAACATATGGCATGCTATGTACTATTTAATACTATTTATGCTTATAGTTGCAATAATTTTCCACCACTCTTTGCTAATTTACCATGATCTTGTGATGCAAGTGGATGAGCAGTTAGAAAACATAAGTTTCCTTCATATTTTACTGTCCTGAACATTTCAAGAAAAGTAATTTGATTACCCACAACCTTATTTTTTGCATCTGCAAAACCTGAGGAATAAACCTGAATGTCATAAACCTTTCACTCTGAATAGGCCAACATAGGTTGAATTGACCCAAAAATCTCTCAGAGAAGATTCTGTAGGAAACAGTGGCATGCAGAAATGTGCAATGAAACTTAAAAGCCAGAAATTTCAGAACATTGAACTACACTTAAATTCTATATTTGTAAGACTGGGAAATAGACAGACTGTCAGAGTGCCACTGTTTGATAACAGAATGTATAAATATGTTTTGGAGGAGAAATGAAAAAGGAACACCCATGCTGCACTCATAACTAGTACAGCTAGTGTAGCACAGATGGGAGAAAAACCAGGTGTGGCTTACCAGAAATGAGCACAGCCCATGGCCTGATTGCTGGAACATGCACACCAAGGGGTAGTAATGGCATGTGGGAAAGTGGAGGCAGGAAAGGGAGGACAGGGTTTTGCTTAGCCTCCTCATGACCCTCTCTGTCCTTTCTCTGTCTTTAACCACTCAGCAAGAGCTAATAATGACCACTGAGAGGCTAGAAATGTCAACTGAAGATCTATGTCTTCATTTTTTACAGAGTTGTTGCCACACAAATTCCCACTGAACTTGAGGGAAGTGAAACTGGTTAGAATCAGTGAAGATACATCTCTATGAATTACAAAAATCAGAAAGTTTACAGGAGTTGTAAGGAAGATTCTTATCTCACTTTGTCCTGTAAACAAACAAACAATCAGAGTCACTCTGCAACCTTGATATGGCCAAACTCCTCACCTTAGAACATCTGCACAGCGTAATATCTGAAATAAATAGGCTTGTCAAAATCTTCATAGATATTTAGAAGCTGTTATTTCTATCTGGAGTTCTTGCATATTTTATTGAGTGATAGACACAACAAATAGTATTAAAATCTAATCCAAATCTCTCAGATGGGAGGAAAAACAAAGAGACTTTTTATTACTGCATGACATTTATGCCCAGTTTACCTCCAGTGTAGAGTTTTGAAGTTTCCCAGTAAGAACTTCTTTCTCTTTCTCTAGTTGCTTTAGTTCACACTCATATTTTCTTTTAAATTCATCTAGCTGTGTCTGGAGCTCCTAAAAATAAAAAAAATAAAAGAAGAAAAGACAAGAGCATGCAATAGATGGGACAAAACATGCAGCATGAAAAAGAACACTCTGCTTCTACATTAACCTAGATAATACAGCAGTGTGCCCAACAGTACATGCTACGGTCAATTAATGTCAGTTGTGTTATTTAATTTAAAATATATAAACAGTTTGGTTTGCTTCTTTCTAATATTACTGTGAGACAATACAGCTCACATTATCCTAATCTACTACTGAAAGCTTCCCTAAGGTGTAAAACTGTACAGCATGAAGAGTCAGACTGTTTTGCCTAGAGTAGCATGAATCTTCAAAAAGAATTTAGTATGCAAGAGTCACCCACAAGACCTGAAAAACTGTAACTATACATTGGCCATATAAATAACAAGATGACTAATGGGCAATTAGTGCAAAGAGAATCAATAGGAAGCAATATCTGACAGCATCCATAAAGAAAAATATGATGAGGAAGTAAAAATTTAAAAAAAAAAAAAAGGGGGGATTATATAATCACCATGTTGCTGGAAATAGTTAAAAAAAATCAATGAGAGCATTAGTTGCAAGACAGTGACCAAGAGCTTGTAGCAATTGTTTGTAGTAAGTGTTAGCAATTACTTGTAGAAAGACTGAATGTGCAACCTCTAGAAACTTCTTGAAGTGATACACACAACAAATTCATTAGTGTGCTTGCTCTTCCTATCTGTGCAAATTTGCTAACTCAAAAAACATTCTACAGTGTCTTCATGCACTACAAATGAAGGAAACAGAAAAAGAAATAACTACTTAACACCTCCTCCATCCTGTACAGCTCCCTCTCACACCCCCCCGTGTAAAACCTAGGTAGCAATTAAAGGATGGAATTAAACAGATGCATGAATATTGCAAGGGAGGAATTAGCTTTAGTTTTGCCTGTACAAAAAGGAGCAGATGTGTCTTTTTGATTAAAATGTGAAGATCAGGTGCAACATTCACACTTCAACTCTGTCAACTGACTTTCTTCTCTGCATCTTAATTTTTCTATCTGGAAAAATAGATATAACACTTCCTTAACAGCTGTTACAGGACTCAGTTGAATAAGAGGATATAAACAGCATCAAAAATGAAAAAAATTGTAATTTTATTTGTTTTACTAACTCAATATTTTCCTGATTAAATTAATATGATTATCAAAGAAGATATTATTACAAGTAATAATATTTATTGCCTATAAAAAATAAATGCCTACTAACATGCCTTTTTTCTGAAGTATGAAGTGTTTGATACTTAAATTCAATCTGACTCACATGAAGAGCTTCAGCCAGGCATAATTTTAAGAATACATGTACAAACTAATAATAAGTAGAATACACTATATAAAAGGCAAAGCAATTTCCATGAGGCTTCACTAGTTTAACTATGTAGCTTGAAGAATTGCATCTTCAGACACTGATCAAAAGTGAACCATTCCACAAGCAGATAAAATAATTTACTCGCCCAGGTTCAATTTTGAGAAATAAGATTGCATAAATGTATAAACTCCAGCAGTTTCATGGACATTAATTCTTTTGGCAAGCACTAAATACAATTCCTAGTCTCCAAGCTGGGCAGGTATTTATGAAGCTCAACATTTAAGGACAGCAGCTGCTCAAGTAAACACTGAACTCAGAAAGTTATAGCAGTGTTAACTACAGAAAATGGGTACAAGTTCATTCTTAGCACCAAGAAGGATCTGAAAACCACTTGGCCAGTAGCCTTATTATCCCATTCTACAAACTGCTGAAATTAACCTTCTTTTTCTGTCTAGAAGACCTTTGATGAACACCAAAGTCCATTAGGAGTCAGAACCTAACTTCCCCCTTAGCTTATGCTCAAATTTGGCAAATCATGGACATGCACTGACTTGTGAGCTCCACGAATCATTAAAATATATGTTTCAAAGTTATCCTCCCTTTGAACAGAATTCAGCTCACACTTAGGTTCCTACTGCACAAAAACATTAGAGACTGCAAGTTTCCTAAAGCCAAAGGATTCAGTCACAGACAGCAGCTCTGATGAAAGTGAAATTCTCTGAAGAATCTCTTAAGTCAACTGCTGCTAATGCATATCAACAACAAAAAAGAACAGCTTCTCCGCTTAAAACACACTGAAAAAAAGATATTGCTCAGGTAAGCTGTTTGGATCTGCAAGAAGATGAGCCTTCTTTCTGACTAAAGTTAAACAGAGACACACATATTTATATGTATGTATGTTTGCATGCATGCATTGTAAATAGTTGCAATTTCACTGGTAGCACATGCACTCTGAATTAATTTACCAACACTTTGCAGTACTAGATCCTCTGCCTAATTAATGCAAAATTCTGATTAAATAAATTTATCTGAGTGTTTCACAGCAGCAGTCCATGAAAATTTAACTCAGGAATTGGAACAACATGCCCAATACAATCTTCTTCAGGAAGAATCTTCTATAAAACACTCCAACTGCCACATGCAAAAAAATGCAAGGATAAGTATTGCTAAGAAGGCCATTTATCCCATCAAGGATAAATTCACCTGTCTTCGGAGCTTTTCACTGAAATAAATCAGTCTGACCTTTTTTTTCCTTTTTCTGATTTTTTTTCTGTAGCAAGAAAATCCTGGCATTTTATGTTAATTCAAAGTGCCTACAGTGAGCACAATTCAAATGATGTTGCTGTGACCAATAAGATTAAAACCAGATGAATTAAAGCATCTATAAATAGAAAAAATTCCTACCTTCTGGTTTTTTGGTTTTTTCAGATTCCATGAAGTTTTAGACTGGCCTGATTTCCTTTGTAGCCTTTATTACATGATCTACCATTCCTTTTACCAGCTATTCCTTCAGAAAAATCTTTTCCTTATAGGATTTATGCTTGATTTTACAAAGGTTCTCTCTTTTATTCATACCCTCCTTGTAAACAGCTACAGTTTCCATAGCCTATAAAACACACTAGATATATTGTACAAAAAACCCCCCAGGGTAGAACTCTGGGATCACAGTAGTCTATTTTGTAGTGAAAATGCTATTTAGGTGGCAATACTCCATTGAAAAATATTAGCTTTATTTTAGTTAAAAATGTAGAACTGTACTGATTCAAGATGGTAAGCCTTTTCTGCAGTCTAGGAATGATTTGGGATTTTTTGCTGTTCTGGTTTGAGCTTGGGTGTGTAACTCACTTCCAACCATGCAGGCTCCCTCAAGGATATACTTAGTCCTGTGAAAAAGTACAGTAGATGATTTGCTGACTGTGATGCCAAGTCTAATTTTCCTAAATGGTAGCTTAACAATAGTTAAAGAGAACTAAAAAGTGTAGAAAAGATTCAGGGCTGAACAGTTGCTTAAGGGGAGATATTGTACAGAGGGTACTCTCAGGATACACACATTGCTCATTTTACTGAGTTTATTCCTGCTATCATTTCTGCACAGCTTTTCAGAATAACCATTTTCTATATTTAAAATAAAATAAATCAGTATTCCAGCTTGACCTCAGCAGAGATAGTCTGCCTTAGACATTGTTCTCTTTAAGGATTTGGTTACAGAAGCAGTTGAACACTATGCCCTGCTCTAGCCCAAGGACTCCTTTGCTGGCTTTGCAGGAGCTCAGGTACTTCAGGTTATGAACACAAGTCAATGTTCCACTGAATGAGCTCAGGGATCTGGGAATCTCACAGGATTGACTCCTGTACAATAAAGCCATCAATTGTAAAAAACCCTACATTGATTTCAGTACTTTTGGTATGCCATGTCTTTGAATATTTGAGAGCAAATCACCTGCTAAAGCTCTTGCACATCTTCAGAGTTGCTCTTTTCCTGACTCTCTTTGGTACAAGTCATTTGCTACAGCTGCGTTATTTGATGTTTCAGTTCATCTACTTTTTTAACAGCTTTGCTTTGGGAATTCAATACAGCTTCCATATCTTCTGTGGTACCAAAATTTACATTTCAAGTAGCATAAATAACTTGCAGAATTTCCAATATCAGTGACTACTAACATGGGAAATACTTTAGAATGATATTAATGAGCATCTTACCTGCTTTATGCAGGATTTCCTTTTCTTGATGTGAATTTCTCTCTTTGACTACACTTAGATCTTCTTCCTCTTTTTTCACTATACATTTTGATCCCAGAATTTCTTGCTGTGTTCGCTTAAGCTACACTTCCAAATCCTAAAATATGCATGACATTACTTTCACGTTTATTACATATGTAATTCTCTTGTAATAAGAAATAAATGGTCATTTTCTCTCCTGGTGTTCCATGATATAAATCACCTATAGAACTGATTTAAATGCCTTTTTTTTGCTCTTCTTTACCCTTAAACTGTCTCTGCTGCTAGAATATTTGTGATGTGGAGCCCTTCCCTCACATATAGTTGGCATCATTGTAAAATGAATACCCACCAATAGTTACCATCTAAAAGATGTCTGAGATTATCCTAAACTTGAAATAGGCTATACGTCAAATAATTTGAATAATGACAACTTCTAATAATGACAGCTTATGCCAAAAGTTAAAGAATATTAATTAAGGTTTTTTCAGTTGCTGAAATACAAAAGTTTGTAACATAATCCATATACAGATGCCTAAACTCAGAAAAAATTGTGCCCTACTTTGCTGGGACTTCTTGTCCCCAGACTTTGCTGGGAGCTGTCTTTCCATTACTAATGGAAAAAAATTGAATCATACTGAATGTACTATTTCTGGAGGTTCTAGTCGCAGTTTCAGATGTCTAGCATAATACTGCAATACTCACTCAGATAAAACTGCCATTTTTTCCTATATGAATGTCAAGTAAAACCTCAGGGTTAAAACTAACTTGTATTTAACACTCTCTGTAGCTCAAAACTTCAAGGTAAGCTTGTTTCTTTTACCTCTGGCATATATGTCAGAATTCTTCCAAAACTAGACTGAACAGATCAGACTTAATGATTTGTCAACCTTTGTATTCTCCCTTCTACAGCAGTAATAATAAATGTGTACTAATGCAATGCCTTTCATCTAAAGGTCTCAAACCTCTTGGCATACTCTAAGGAGAAAACAGGAAAATTCATCTTGTTGAATCAACAGTCCTTTCACATTTCAAGCCTTATAATAGCTTTTCCTGCTAGTATTTACTAATGCACAAAGGTATTTCTGATTAGAGTGATGTTTCTACTTCCCTGCCTGCCATCGTCCATAGAAGTCTGAAAAACTGTATTTAATGGTGGCATAAAAAATAGTCAATTTAGAAAGGAGAAACTTTACATTTTTTTGTTCAAACTGCAAAAGAAACAGAAAGCAACATCATGTCTAACTCTTTCCCTCCTTCCAGATTTATCCTAGTCTGAGGGTATCTTTCCAAAGATTCAAGGCAATATGCTCCAGTGGTATGTAAATCAGCTTCACTCCAGAGATTTAGAGGATTTGAAATGTACGAGTTGAGCATATGTCCTTCAGAAAATATTTCAGTTTTATCCAGCTGAAACTGAATTTAGAAAATAAATTGCTAATGACACCACATTCTTACTTCCACTTCCTATCATATTTTACATTATTTGTTCCTGAATTACTGCATTACTTATACAATCAATCAGAAGAGTCAACCACGTGCATAAATTTTCATGTGTTTATTCTTAATTTTCCCTGAATGTCACCACAGTATCCACAAAATCAAAGTCTTCCTTTCTCTCTTCCCCTCTAATGCTTCCAATTTCTACAGAACCCAGGATTTTTAGTACTGAAACAGATATTAAAGATTGACTCAATTTTAAAAAAGGGCTTATCTGCATCTTTGTATCCTCTACACTTTGTATCGTCCATCTTTTCTGTAAAAGATAGAGGTTGTTCTGCTACAGATCTGCACACTGAGACAATGAAATCTGAATAATGTTGGGGAAGGTGTATTCAATTCATCCTCTGATCTTGTGAAACAAAGAGGTAGGGACTGTATTGAAGGCTGAACTCCCTCTAAGAACATCCTAAAAGTAGTAGCTCAGAACTCTGCATTGTCAGCAAAACAATAGTGGCAAGCAAGATGTGAGGGCAGATGGTGGAAAGAGTGAAGAGCTGCCTTGGAAGAACACAGCTGACTGGGCTCACCCTGCTCCCTGCAGAATTCTGGGGCTCTCTTCCTCTAAAGGAAGAAAATCTTCTTTCCCATTAGGGAACCATTTTTGTTATTTTGTAATACTTCAAATCTAGACCTTCAAGGTGTTTTCTTACCTAATATACAAGATTTCTGTCATAGGGCTGGGGGCATGTCTGGTAGGTGAGTTTATGTGATGTAAAGGATCAAAATAATCAGAAGAAAGTTGAACTGATGAGAGCATGGCTGGGTGCTTCAATTTCAGCACTGAGCATCAGCCTCTCTCCTGCACTCTGACCTTATGAACCAAAAGCAGCTGTTTGGCAGATTTCCCATGACATGCCAACCTCTGAAACTGCATCTGACACATGATGCAACCAGGAAGGGTCTGCTGAGCTGTGCTGCAAATGTGTGAGATACACAGCAGTGAGCAGGCAAAGTGCAAGGTGAGAACCAATGGCAAAGTCTCATGGCTCAGCACATAAAACTTCACAAGTGTAAAGGACACTTCATTAATGGCACTTGATACAAGCCACTGCTGCAAGAGTCATACAAAAAACTTGATTCCTAAACTGCCAGCTCAGGTCTCATATCTAACCCTCTTTGTATCCATGCACTGAGCTATTGGCAACCTGTCTTAGTTTGGAAAGACAGTGGCAATCCAGGACACAACCACAAGGGAAAAGGAGAATGTACTCTCTCAACAAACATACACTGGTAGCAGGAGTGCCTGCTTGCTGCTCTTGTCACATTTCTGGGCAGAAAAAGTAAAACTGTCTTCAGCCCAGATAAATTTTACTTCACTCCTTTCTCAAGGAATACAAATTATAGTGTTCAAAGTGTTCTCCTAATGAGTTACTAATCATCTTAACTCTTTCTTTAAAGCTGCTAGCATTATATCACTCCTATTTCCATTCTAAGCTGTTAAAACTGCTTTACTACTTAAAAAGCATTTGAATCAACATGATCTTAAAAGACCATCCTCTCCCAAATTTTAAAGGATTGATAATTTTCACTTTCTCAGGCAGAGATAGGGATTAACTCTACCTGTATTCGCTCCTTCAGCTTCTGGGAATGCTTCTTCTTCTCATTTATCTTCTGGCTTTTCTCCTCTAGGTCTGCTTCCAACTTCTTTACCTGCTGCAGCAAAAAACCTTCCTCAGTCTCTGAGCTCTTCTTTTGCTCTGTTTCTCCTTGTGGACAGTTTGTTTCTATCACAGATTGCTGCATGGCTATTTTCAAAGTCTCTTTTTCCATCTCACAAGGGGCTTGCAGTTTTCTTGTTTTCTGAATATATTCTTCACTTGTTTTCTGGTTCTCGCTCTTCAGGTTTTCAATCTCATTCATTGCAGTGTGCCTTTTCATACTACATTTTTCATCTAAATTTACTTTTTTATCTAGATTTTCTCCTCTAAATGCTTTACAGTCATTTAGCAGTCCATCAGACTCCTGATTTAAATGTGAAAGTTTGTTTTCAAAGCCTGCAGTGGTGTCTGCTGCTGTCTGTGCTTGTTTCTCTTCTGTTCTTGACTCCTTCTCTTCTGCTTGTTTTTTACACAATATTAACTCTGCTAAGGCTTCTTCCTTCAATCTCTTGTGGTGTGCTACTGCAATTTCAAGGGCCTGAATATGCTTTCTCAGTAACTGTTCTTCTTCAGCTTTGCTTTTACACTGGAGAATTGTTTCTCTTGTCTCAGCAAGAATATTCTGAATTTCTTCTTCATGAGCCTCTCTCAAAGCCTGTATACTGTCCTCATGTTCATCATTCTTAGTGTTCAGGGCATATATCACCTATTGAACAAGAAAAATAGAAAAGTAAAGTATCTTGTCAGCAATAACCTTTAGTCCAGTTACTCTATTTATCAAGGTGTTAAACACTAAAAGTGAATTACTGCTACAGATTAATATTTTTCTGGTGGTGCTGGCTCTTTGTGTTGTTTCAGGGGTTTTTTTCTCACTAGGAACAGAAGGGACAATTATCAACTGAAAAACCTTATAAAAAAGGTGACAAAGTATTTTTTTTTTAACTTTTTGACAGAAATTTCTTTTTTATTTTTTGTCAGAAATTTCTTTTTTATTCTAGGCAAGTTGTCACTTCACATCGCTAGTTTGATCTCTAATACAAAGAAGGAAGTTGGGTTCCTTCTCTAGCTAACTGACTCCTTATTTGAAGTCCAGTCCATCTGCCCTTCAGTGCAGCAGGAGCACTAAAGGCCACATTGCCTTTAGCATGACAAAGTGCTGGGGACCAGTAGTGGCAAATCTGAACAGTGAAACCTGAGCTCCTGACATGCTGTTCATGTGGACCAAAATCACTTATTGATGTAAATGAAAGTATGAAAAGCAGATTAAATTTTGCACTCCAGTCAAAACACCATGGAAGATGCACTTCTGGAATCACATTCCTGACAAGTCAGTTTGGTCAGCATTTTAGGGTAGGTAACTCCAAGCATCTTTTGACTTAATTCTGAGAAGTGTTCAGGCAGGGTTTCAGGGTCTTTTCCCCATAATTTCAGGAACAGCTATAAACCTCAAAACTGCTTTTAGCAGATTCAAGCAAATCTCTAATAACGATAAGCAATTTTTCCAAAAAACTGATTTAAACCTTTTAATGCTTTATTTCTTTTATAAAATGCAGAATAATAATTCTCATGACTGTAAGACCATATTACCCTAAGCAGGCTTCATCTGTTACCATAACACACCAGCTATCTCTCACAGAAGCTGTTGTACAAGCACTCTACTGCTGCTTCAAAAAGAAAACACTTTTAGAAGCCCACAGTAGCCTGAAAGGAAGAGTAAACCCAACTTAAATTTACAGCTACACATAACTGCACAACAAAATAGCTGCCTTGAAAAGACAAGTGCTTGTCTTTTCAGACCTCCAGTAGGACATGTGGGAGCTAATCCAGTTTCTACTAGATAAAGTTATTTAACTTAAGGAGAACAACACATTATGTAGGAAGGCTTTTGACTTACTTAGTTGGTTGGTTGGTTAGGGTTTTTCAGGGATAAATTACTGCTCTAAAAAAAATAGGTTTGGAATTTGTACACAACTTTTGACAGATATTTTCAGTCTGACTTGAGCCCACAGAAGTTAATGAAAAGATTCTTAGACAATGTTTGAGAAAATCATAGCCTTAAGTAAGTAGATAAATAAATACAGAAACAATGAGACAATTAATTCTTTAATTATGCTAGAGTGGTGGCCCTATAATTTTCAAGCCTTTACCAGGACAAGTCTCAATTTAGAGTTCAGAAGTGTCCTGGCCAGAACAAGTGTCACATGCCTGAAATTGTTATGTAAGTCCAGATTCTGAAGATGTCTTCAGAATTATTGAATTTGCTTATCTATGTCCAACCATTTTTTGTGCTATCTGTATATGAATAACACATTGCATTTCAGTCAACCATAAATTAAAGCAAATTCACAAATAAATCTTGTGTATAGTCAACTTCCTCCCTGGCAGTAATGAATTAGGTACAGAAGCCTTAAAAAGTCACAATTGGAAAACACAGTCTGAATATATTTCTTGATAAACATTTGACAAAACAGAATAACAGCATAATATTTCAGAAGAATACCAGACAAGAAGTTATTGTCTACATTTAGATAAGTATATTTTGGGGCCTAAGATTACAAGTCATTAATTCCTCTTGGCTATTTTTAACCATTTTCCTTTGAAATTGAAAGAGTTACAGTATACTGAGGAGATTTTTTCATCTCACTAGCTAAAATAATCTATGAACAGTTCTTATCCATTCAGGAGACAGACATAAAAACTCCAAGAAGATTATTCTTGCCCACATTTTCCACACTGAATGACCAGTAATTAGGTTGGGTAACTCTTCAGTTAACTAGGTCAGATGCTGATGATCACATTTCTGTATTTCATTCCACCACTAAAATAGAAATGAACATCCAACCTTTGTGACTCAAACTTTCACTCAATGATAAAGTTATCTAGTAAGTCACCATGGCCTGTCTCATGCTGTGTTGTGTTGAGGATTCCTCTAAAATCTGACTTAATCACACAGATTTCCCAAATTCCACTAAGCATTCAACTACCACCAGCACCTTAGGTGAGTTATCTAAAACCATGGAAGAACCTGGCCTCCCTGCCCCATCTATGAATCCTACACTTCTGTTCAATACTGGCTAGAACCACAGTGAAGCATTTTGATTTGCATGCCCATAAATTTAATCTTCAAGCTTGAGTGCTGAAATTGACTCCTCCATATCTTAACCTTCTTAAAAGATTTAATTTTGAGACGGCTGCTGCTCTCTACTTTATGAAATTTAAACCCTTCCCTTTCACTCCCTACTGAATATAGCTCCTATATTCCTATTCCAGATACCTCATTTTGAAGACTGGAGTTATATGAGATGAATCCGGTGCTTTATGTGCTGAAAGGAAAAATACTGAAAAATTATTTCAGACCTGTACATTGTGAGTGTACGCTAATGTGGTATAAATCCCTTAACAGCTGTGTTGATAAACAGCTTTTAAAATGCAGCTCTAAAACTGCTCATTTGACAGTACAGGCAGAACAGCTTTCAAGTGAAAAGAGCACATCACTGCTCTGGGAGTCACTACCATAATACCAATGGCTTCTGCCTCCTCTCAGCTCTCCAAAACCAAATGGATTGGGAAACACTGTACTGAATTTATAGCACCTGGGTGTTGTATGGCAGATTGGTAAAACAATTATTACACATATACACTTGAATATTAACAGTGCAGTGTGAATCCATCTTATTTGCCCTATTTTATCCTCCAAATGCTGTAAATCTAAATAGCATTTCCTTTCTCATTTTTCTTATGGTGATATAAAATAACAAACAAACAAAACAAAACAAAACAAAATTGAAAAAGAAAACTTTCAATTGCACCTTAACAGTGAAGGCAGAGTTAAAGCATTTAAACCAAAAATTGGTCTCTTCCTACAGTAGTGTTAAATACTATTCTTAGAAGAACCTGACTGTCATAATGAAAAAAAAGGTTCTAGCAGGTTGCTTTTCTAGCTGAATAAGACAATTTGGTATGGTAGGTGGAGTGATGATATTAAGATGAATCTAAGAAAAGCAAAAGATCATAAATATTCTTCCTTCAGGCCCAAGCTACTAGACACAAAACCTCCCCGACAAAAAAAAAAAAAAAAGAGTTAAAAGCAAAAAAGAAAAAACAAAACAAAACAAAACAAAACAAAAAATCCCAAAAGAATGAGAAGAGGCCCTGGATGAAGGTGTCAAACAGGATACTCCCAGCATCACTCTACACAAAGCAGGGAAGGAGACAAACTTCTATTTCTAAGGAAGAAGTTTGCTAGAGGCTCACTGATGCCAGGTGACTCCATGCATCACGTCCTTTTCACTTTGAATTCATCCTGTCTACTTGCTGAGCAGGGCAGTGTGAGGTACTGATAAACACATCAGCCTTAAATGGTCTCTTAAAAAGCAAAGGACAGAGAAATTATCAAAAATAACTTCAGTTATTTAAACAAATGGCTTCTTTATCCCTTAGCCTCCATTGTCACCAACTCCACAGGCTTTCTAGAAAATAAACCTGCCTCCCACAATTCATTAATTAATATTCTAATCAGTCTATCATGTTCTAACACTGAAGAATAATGTCTTTTAATTAAGGTACAGGCCTAGGCTATGATTAGCTACAATGCTGATCCCATTTTACATCTGTGCTGATTTCATACATAGGTGGTAAATGATAAATGATACTGCCCTAAGGCATGACCTGGGACCTAAAGAACGAAGTCTCAGCTCTCTCCTTGCATTCTTAGTAGTTCTCTGGAAGCACAGGAATAATTCCATGCATCCAAATACTTGCACCAAATGTTCATAACATAAACACATATGTAGTGTTGTGTAGAATGAGAGAAGCTTTAAACAAATTGTCACTCCAAACATCCCAAAGAGGTGCATGACTTGTATCCTACACCAGAATGAATCCTAACTACGATAATAAAAAAGGATTTTGCTCCAGAAGGTTTCCTTTTATTTCAGGGTGAATCTATAGCCTTTCATCCATGATAATAAAGCCCTTGAGACCCTGGAAGAGTCTCCTAGCTACCTTGTGCTGCAGAGCCCTGGAAGAGGGGGTGCAGCACAAGGGCAGCCAATGGCTCTGTATGAAATCCACCTGTGTTTACACGATCTGATGTCTCTGGGGCAGAAGCTCATGGTGCAATGTCTCACCCTCCTGGAACTGCCTCAGGCTTGCCTTATCTAGAGATTCGCAGTGAAAGAGGGCAAGTTGATCTTACATTCTTCAAATTTGAATATATCACCCATTTTCCTACACATACCATGTGTTACAATCAGTCCAAAAATACAATGAAATACTGAAATGTATCAAGAAAGCATAAGCATAAAATGTCTACAGGTTTCTAATATATTTTGGCACACTTTTGACTCTTTCTGCTACCCCCTTTGTTTTCTCCTCCCTTTAGTTTAGTTTATTTGGTCCCGTCTTTTACCTTTTTTTTTTTTTCTGCTTGGTGTAGTGTAATACTGAACATAGAAAATGGTACTTTAGTGGTTTATGTATTGCACCTAATCTCTCAAGTGTGATCTAACACAAAATGAGCTCTGGCCTAAATTTTACTAAAGAGACATCCAGTTGTCCCTCATTTGTATTTTACAGTTTCTAATAAGCTACAAGAACAACTGCCAGGCAATTTAAGAATTAGGAAGGTAAAACCATATTGCAAGAATATTTCCACAAGCAGAGCAGGTGCTAAAAAAGACACTAATAATTTCAGCACAGAAAAAA